TTAAAATGATGAAATAAAGCTGTCAACCCCTAATTCTCTATCCAACTAAAATTTTTCAGAATTGATGTGGAAATAAAGCTTGGGGTTGTGTGTGTGTGTGTGTGTGTGTGTGTGTGTGTGTGTTGATTTGTTTTTTGAAACAAATGAAAGAAAAGAAATGAAAGCTGAGAGTTTCTGTAGCACAGAAGACTTGTGTTATAAAAAAAATGTTAAAGCAAATTCTTCAGGGGGACAAAAAATTGATACTAGGTTATCGACAGAGGGATGAAGAGTACCAGAAATGGTAAGTTGGGAGGTAAATAGAAAATATATCATTTTAATTTCATAATTTCTTTAAAAGATCATTGAAGAAAAGAAAAGCACTGTGGTTTTATGATTTAAAAATAAAATAGATGACAATAGAAAAAACATGTGAAGGGAAAACATAAGTATCTAGCTATAAGATTTTTGCATTATTTGTGAAGCTGTCTAAAATTACTAGAAGACGGTAATTAGCTCTTTTTAAAAGCATATTGGAGGGGTGCCTGGGTGGCTCAGTTGGTTAAGCATCTGACTCTTGATTTCCAGTCAGGTCAGATCTCATGGTTCATGAGATGGAGCCCTGTGACTGGTTCTGTGCTGACAGCACAGAGGCTGCTTGGGATTCTCTCTCTCCCTCTCTCTCTGCCCCTCCCCCACTTGTGCTTGCTCGCTCTCTCTCTCAAAATAAATAAATAAACTTAAAGAAATTAAAATAAGAGTATACTGGAAACCTTAGAACAGCCCCTAAAACAATAAAATAGTAAAAATAGTATAGCTAATAATCCTATAATGGAGATAAATGAAATACTAAAAAAGTAGTGGAGACACATGGAATACTAAAAATATAACATGTGTCCAAGAGAAGGCAGGAAAATGGGGGGGCGGGGGAGGCGGGGAGGAAGAATAGATGACAAGAAAATAAATTAAAACCTAATAATTACATTCAATTGAAATAGTCCATGGAGAGATCAGCAAACTTTTTCTGAAGAGGCTCACTCAGTAAATATTTTAGGCTCTATGAGTCAGATATAGTCCCTACCACATATTCTTTATTTATTTATAACCCTTCAGAAATGGAGAATCCTTCACAGCTTGTGGCTGTAGGCTGGATTTGGCCAGCATGGCACAGATTGCCAACCCCTCATCTAGATACTTGAAGGCAGAGATTATCAGACTAAATAAAACAGTAGAACTGTACTATATGCTGTTATATGAGATACACTTAAAGTAAGTTAAAATGAAGGGATGGGGAAAAGATATGCCATGATGTAATAATAAAAGAAACCTGAAGCAGTTACATTAATAAAGAGAACAGAATGCAAGAAAAAGAATATTACCAAAAGGAACATTTCATAATAAAGGGGTCAATTCATCAAGAGGACATAGGAATCTTGGGGCACCTAGCTGGCTCAGTTGGAAGAACATGCAACTCTTATCTCAGGGTCATGAGTTTGAGCCCCACATTGGGTGTAGAGATCACTCAAAAATAAATAAACAAACACAAACAAAAAAAAAGAGGACACAGCCATCCTAAATATGCATGCACCTAACAGAGTTTCAAGACACATAAAGCAAAGCTGACAACTGTACAGATAAATCCACAGCTGTATTTGTAGGTTTTAGCAGTCTTCTCTCAGTACTTGATAGACCAAGGGACCAAAAAATCAGAAAAGACAGAGAAGAATTGATCACCACTACAAAACACTTGACCTACATGATAAATGATAAATACTCTATCTAACAATAGTATAACACTCCCCCCCCCTTTTTTTTTTGGTCAAATCACATTTAACATTGACCAAGACAGTCCACATTTTGGACCATAAAACAAGTTTCAATAAATTTAAAAGGATTGATATTCCAGAGTATATTCTCTGACCACAACAGAATTAAATTATGACTTAAATGAATTTAAAAAGAAATTCAGAAAGATCTGAATTCCAAATTCAGAAAGATCTAAAAAGTCCCCTGAAATTTGGAAGTTAAAGAAGACTATTCTAAGTGGCCCATCAGTAAAAGAAAAAACAGAATTCTGAGCTAGAAAAAGAAGAGAAAATTCAGCATAAAGTATGCAGAAAGAAGGAAAGAATAAGATCTGTAATCAATGAAATAGCAACCTAACCTACCAAAGATGCATTGGTTGTTTAATTCTATCAGATAATTCAGGAAGAAATAACAGAATTCAAAAACTTCTTCTGGAAAATAGAGGAAGATGTATTTTTTAACTTATTTTGTAAATTAACATAGAACAAAGACATTTTATCATCAGAAAATACAAACTATAGGAAATGCTGAAGGAAGATTTTGAAGCTAAAAAGAAATTACATAGGGGTGGCTTCGTGGTTTAGTCAGCTTATTGTTTGACTTTGGCTCAGGTCATGGTCTCACAGTTTGTGGGTTGGAGCCCCGCATCAGGCTCTGTGCTGACAGCTCAGAGCCTGGAGCCTGCTTCAGATTCTGCATCTCCCTCTCTTTGGCCCTCCCCGGCTCTCACTGTCTCTTTCTGTCTCTCAAAAAATCAATAAATGTTAAAAATAATAAAATTTAAAATTAAAAATAAAAAGAAATATCAAACAGAAATTCAGATCTCAAGAAGTGAGAGCAATTGAAAACAGTATATATGTGGATAAATAAAATGCATTTGCAAATAATCCAATAAAGTATTTTTTTCAAAGTTCTTTTTAATTCTTTTGTTTCTGTGGATTTTCCGCTTAAAATTTTTTATATTGTGCTTTCTTTTCTTTCCTAATTTGAGATTTGTCTTATCTTATTAATGATGTCTTTCCTGTGTTCTAACAGATATAATTTTTATTTTTATAAATTCCCTTCATATGCCCTACTACTTCCTTTCAATTTTTATATTTTCATTATTTTTGTTAGAAGAATTTAAAGCTATAACTTTTCCCTTAGAGTCTTACTTAAACTAAATCCCATGGGTTCCAAAATATAGTGCTATCACTGAGTACTAGAAATTCTTTACTTTTAGATTATGTCTTCTTTGATCCAGGAGTTATTGAGATAGATTTCAGAAATTGCTGCTAAGAGTAACTTTATTTTTCTGATTTTATTATTAAATCTTAGCTGCATTTGTGTTCAAAGAACATAGTTTATCATTTCTACTTATTTGGACTTTAGTGTGGCGTAATATTTTGTGATTTTTTTCTGAATAGTCTATAGAGACTTGAAAAGAATGTATATTCATCATTAGTAGGATATAGAATTGAATATATACTAAAAAGGTAGATTTGGGACGCCTGGGTGGCTCAGTCCGTGAAGCATCCAACTTCAGCTCAGGTCATGATCTCATGGTTCGTGGGTTCGAGCCCCATGTCAGGCTCTGTGCTTACAGCTAGCTCAAAGCCTGGAGCCTGTTTCAGATTCTGTATCTCCCTCTCTCTCTGACCCTCCTCTGCTCACGCTGTCAATCTCTCTCTCTCTCTCTCAGAAATAAATTTTAAAAACATTAAAAATTTCTATCAAAAAGGTAGGTTTGATGGAGTATTTCATCCTTACAAAATGTGTCCACTTGGTCTGATTTTGACTGAAAGAAAGAGTTAATTAGTATCCTGTACCACTTTCTTCTTCTATCTGCTTTCCTATTTGCTCAACAAAAGTTGATGGTATATTATTTGATACATGTGTATTTATAACTATTTTGTCTTCATTTTGAAATATATACTTTAGAATAATATAGTGTCCTTCTCTGCCATATTTAATAGTGTGATGTGGCCTGAATTTTTGTCTGTTTTTGTTTTCCATTTATCTGGTATACTTTATCCTTTCATTAAATTTTCTGAATCACTTAAGTGTCTAATGCAGAGAGTTAAGTTTTTGAGACTCAATCTAAAGGCCTTTTTTTTTTAATAGTTGAATTAAAAATCATATATATTTATTGATAGGACATATATTTGTTTTTTGGTCTTTATTTTATCTTGTAATTATTTTACTCATTACATATACACACTAGTGTGTGTGTGTGTGTGTGCGCCTTAAATCCTAAGTCTGATATTACATAAATTATTTTTTTCCTCTCTCACTACAAGTTAAGTTTCACAAGGGATAATTTGTAGGTATCTGATTTTTCCCCCCACTGATTTATTCATATTACCTAGAAGAGTGCCTGTTACATAGTAGGTACTTAATAAATATTTGTTAGATCACCTCATCAAACCAAAGTTCTAACAAGAAAAACATATTTCTACCAAAAGAATACTACTTCTGTTCTCTCCTTCCCCTAGCAGAAGACTGAGCATTTGGGAAATGAAAAATGATTTGCTGAATGAGTATAAGAACACTGGTTAGAAAGGAGAGAAGCGGCCTTTCTCTTTCCGCCATCTTTGAACCCGTGGAGGCCTGCTGGGAACAGGACTCCTGAAACGACAAATATGTCTGGAAGGTTGTGGTCCAAAGCCATTTTTGCTGGCTATAAACGGGGTCTCAGGAACCAGAGGGAGCACACAGCTCTTCTTAAAATTGAAGGTGTTTATGCCCGAGATGAAACTGAGTTCTATCTAGGCAAGAGATGTGCTTATGTATACAAAGCAAAGAACAACACAGTGACTCCTGGTGGCAAACCGAATAAAACCAGAGTAATCTGGGGAAAAGTAACTCGTGCTCATGGAAACAGTGGCATGGTTCGTGCAAAATTCCGAAGCAACCTTCCTGCTAAAGCCATTGGCCACAGAATCCGTGTGATGCTGTACCCCTCAAGGATTTAAACTAACTGAAAAGTAAATAAATAAAGGTGTAGATTTGTTCTCTTGTAAAAAAAAAAAAAAAAAAAAAAAAATAAAGGAGAGAAGCAAAAAAGGAAGACTTTGAATTTTTGAAATCAACACTTACTCACCAGTAAGTTATTGTATGATAATCAGTTAGGCAACAATATCAGGATAAAGAATGCTAATATTCCTATGACTGTAGAAAAAAAAGACTACATCAATTAGGAACAGCAACAACAACAACAAAAAACACCAACTTACATGGGCCATGGCTTTTTATAGAATTCAATATATTTATTAGTCCTCTTCTTAGTTCCACTTTAGAAGAAACTCACAATCCAAAGAAAGTATTGCTGGATGAAACAGGTTTAAAAAAAAAAAAAAAAGACATCAGATGGTCTTGCCTCTTAGCTCCCAAAGTGCTAATGTAGAATGACATTTTTCTTCCCCCTACATGTCTCCTATGCCCAATCCCCATACAGACATACAACTGAGAAATTGGACAAATCCCAACCTTACTCAAAACAAGGAGAGAAGCTAGGTATAACAGGAAAGAAAGACTAGGCCCAGGTTTTTTAGTAAGAAAGATTTAGAAAGGCAGACCAGTGTCCCAACCCTTTGATAAAAGGGACCCTACCAACCTGTTCAGACTATCCTGACAAGATCTTCACTGAATTAAGAGGAAAAAGATAAAGGAAGTGGACATTACACAAAGATCAGGGGAACAGAAAATGATCCAAAACACCTAATGAATATCTCACAAGAATTTCAAAAATAGAGACTGATGGTACACAGATGGAAAAGAAAAAATAAATAGAACAAAAATTCCCAGAACAAAATAAATACTTGAGACTTTAGTTAGAAGCACTGGTGAGAATTAAAAAATCACACCTGGGGACACCTGAGGGGCTCAGTCAGTTAAGCATCCCACTCTTGGTTTCAGCTCAGGTCATGATCTCACAGGTTTTCAAGTTCCACCCCTGCGTTGGGCTCTGCACTGCTTGTGAGGAGCCTGCTTGGGATTCTCTGTCCCTCTTCCCCATCTCTTCCCCCGCCCCAACTCTCTCTCTCTCAAAATAAACTTAAAAAAAAAAAAAACTCCTCTTTAAAAAAAATCACACATGGAAGCATCCTGGAAAATCTTCTGAAATTTATTCCTGTGTACAGACAAAAAGATGTAAATATCTTGTAATAAAGAATTACAAAACAATGTGTACTGTAGTCTAATCTTTGGGGGGGAAATACATACATACATAAGCATACATATGTATGCACATAACAAAGGTGAAAGCATTTGTAATAAAATGTTCAGAGTGGTTGAAGAATTACAGATAACTTTTACTTTAAATTAAGTAACATAACAAAAGAAACAGGACCTAATAAATAATCTTAGACACTGGTTTTGGATGTGCAATAGTGCTACTCTAGGTGTTTCTGAGGCGAACGACGGAAGTACTGAGGTAGAGAGTCGAGAAGAACTAGGAGACACCAGGCCTTTCGCAAATAATCTCCACACCCAACATGGGGCTGGAACTCACACCCCAGAGATCAGGAGTTGCATGCTCTAATTAATGCCTGAGCCCCTAACCAAGCTTTCTAGAAGCTCAAAATTTGTGACCTTGAGTGTGATGTGTAGTAGACGTTGTCTGTGTCCATGGTAACTATGTTTCTATGATACTTGGTGATGTGTGTGAGCTCTTCAGATAACTGTTGGGAATAAGGGCTAAGTGAGTATGAGGGCAGTTTGTAGTTGGGGAGGAGTTGTTTTGTCTTGTTTTGTTTTACTATACATGTGGCTTTGTCCGAGGCTGTGTGATGATGATAAATGTGAGTTGGATAATGTGACTTTGGCTTTGTGTTGTATGAATCTACAAGTGACTTCTGGAATGTCTCCCTAACTGCCTGATTATGTGATCCTGGGTGTAACGGTTTGTGGAATTGTGCTTTTTTTCTTTTATGCAAGTATTTGGGGCTTACACAAATAACCATCCACAATCATTGTCACAATCACATACAAACTCCATTCACACAAATGGTCGTGCAGACCATTTCATTGCCACGAAAGCACGATCCCGAATCCAGTCGCTGTCACAACAAACTGCCAAATACACTTAGTCCGAACACAAACTCATAGTTTCCTTCACGCACTCACAACAACCCAATCTATCACCCTAGGGCAGCTCCTACACTTAAGAGACCGAACACTCCAGACACTCCTCTTACCAAACCCTGGAGCTCCAGGATTCCTCACCTTCAGCATCCTCAGGAAGGCCTCTGGTCCAAATTTTGATTCGCATTCCAGGCGAGGTTGCGAGCCTCGCCCAACACACTACACTGGTGGGGTAGCCGCCTTACCGGCCTCAGCGGCCGACCCTTCTGCCGATGTTCTACCGGAAGTAGCTTTGGTCGCAGTGTCTTCTGGGAAACGTAGTCCGAAAGGAAAAACCCTCGGAGCTGAACCAGGTAAATCTTCCCCCGGGCTTCGGAATGCACCTGCGCAGCTTCGTTCGGGCCTCTAGGGATGTCACAACCTCCATGTTTCCAAGGCTCAGACTCGAATTTGGGGTCTGAATTCCGGACCTCGATTCCTCTGAGGGCGGATTTCAGGCCTGGCACCGTGGCTGTCCCTACCCCCTCAACGTGGACGCGCACGTGCAGTGGTTTGAGAGGATCGTGGTTGTCTGGTGCGGAGGGATCCGGCCTTCCTCTGTAAGGTGGCCGTGCGAGATGTGTTTTCTGAGTCCGAAAGTGCGAGTGTCCAAGGGTGAGTCTGATCGAGAGGGAGAGAATGTATGTTACACCGACTGAGATATCATGCGCGAGGAAATTCATTTGCGAAACGTTTTCTGAGGCGTTTTGAAATAGTGGTCGTGTTGTATACCCGTGTGAGTTCACGCGGTGAACTCGGCCACGCTCAGTGATTGTGACGTGGTATAATATGACGTGGTTTACGAGTGAGGGGCTATTTGAGACAATATGATTGATGACGCATGCTTGCCTACGACTAGGCTATGAGAGCAGTGACCTTGTAACATTCTGTGAGAAGCCATTTGTGTTGGGTCTACCGATGGCTAGCAGGAGTGGTTGGCTGTAGCGGGTGTTCTTCGCGAGAAGGAAGGAGGCTGAGTCTCCCTGAGACCGGGGGAACCCAGTGGGGCAGAGCAAGCCTTGCATATATGCATGGGAGAGTCATGAAGCGACATGTGACGTCTAAGTGTGTGTGAGAAACCAGAATTGACTGAGAGGGGTGGAAGTCACTACAGATTATTTGCCAGAAGGGACAAATCTATAAAGATTTTTAACCTTGCTGAAAGTCCAGAAACCGCATCTCAAAGTGTGATGTGAGGAAGTGTATCTGTGACATGTAATTGTGTTTCTGGGTCTGATTCTTGGTCATGTGTATGAGATGGTTTGCACTGGATATTGTCCAAGGTGTTGAGTGAAATATACAAAGATGTGAAAGTGGTGTGTGATTGTACTCAAGTCTCAGATGAATTGTATTGTGAAAGGGCAGGTGATTACAACGTTGTAATTTTGAGGTTGATATATGTGAGTTTTAACTGAGTGTGACTGAGATATCATGTGAGAGATTTGGTAAATCTGTTTTTGTGTCTTTTGGTGCAACTTACGCAAGTTAAAAATCTGGATGGAAGATAGTGCGGTTACAATCTGAATGTAGTAACTATAGGAGACACTGCAGTGTTATGGCATATATGAGATTGAATATGCCGCGATACCTACTTTAAACTGCTTTTCTTACCTCTAGAAAGATAATGATAATTAAACTTCCTGAAGCATTGCTTTTAACTTGAAAAATAAGTTTCCGGGGCGCCTGGGTGGCTTAGTCGGTTAAGCGTCCGACTTTCGCTTAGGTCATGATCTCGCGGTTCGTGGGTTCGAGCCCCGCGTCAGGCTCTGTGCTGACTGCCAGCTCAGAGCTTGGAGCCTGTTTCAGTCTGTGACTCCCTCTCTCTCTGACCCTCCCCTGCTCACGCTGTCTCTCTCTCTCTCCTAGAAATAAATAAAAATAAAATTAAATTAAAAAAAAGAAAAATAAGTTTCCAAGGGAAAGTTTTAAAAATCTATAACTTAAAGCATTATTTTAAAAATATGAAATAATTTGGGGCGACTAGGTGACTCAGTAGGTTGAGCCTCTGACTCTTGATTTTGGCTCTGGTCATGATTCCAGGGTCATGGGATTGCGACCTGCATGGGCTCTGTGCTGAGTGTGGAGCCTGCTTAAGATTCTCCCTCTTTCTTCCTCTGCCCCTCTCCCCTGTGTGCTCTCTCTCTAAAATAAATTTTAAGGGGCGCCTGAGTGGCTCAGTCGGTTAGGCATTTGACTTCAGCTCAGGTCATCATCTCACAGCTGGTGAGTTTGAGCCCCGTGACAGCAGAGTCTGGACCCTGCTTCTGTGTCTCCCTCTCTCTCTGCCCCTCTCCCACTCGCGTTCTGTCTCTCTCTCTCTCTCTCTCTCTCAAAAATAAACATTTAAAAAAATTTTTTTTTATTTTTTAATGTTTTATTTATTTCTAGGAGAGAGAGAGAGAGACAGCGTGAGCAGGGGAGGGTCAGAGAGAGAGAGGGAGTCACAGACTGAAACAGGCTCCAGGCTCTGAGCTGGCAGTCAGCACAGAGCCCGACGCGGGGCTCGAACCCACGAACCGCGAGATCATGACCTAAGCGAAAGTCGGACGCTTAACCGACTAAGCCACCCAGGCGCCCCAACATTTAAAATTTTTTAATAAAAAAATAAAATAAATTTTAAAAATATGCAGTAATTTATTGTGATGAACGCAAAATGATCATGAAAGATTTTTTTAAATCCGTTATAGGGTAACTGGGAATATGGTTGGTATTCTTTGGTGCAAGTGAAATAGATGGGAAGTCTACTAAATTCTTACTTGATCTGTATAAGTGAGAGAGTTCTAGATAAAGTGAACAAAAGCCTAACTGGAATAATAAATGCAGTCATGGCCCTTCAGTCAATTCTCAGACTTGACCCATTATACAGACCCAGAACCCCTGGAGTGAAAAACCTTGACATATTACCAGAAATTTATGGTGAGAACTTTCCCCCATGCCTTCCCAAAGGAACTCACAGCCTTTACCAGATGATCAGACATTGAGGAAAAGGAAATAATCAGATCCTGGACACTGGCTTTGAGCTGACACTAATTCCAGGAGACTCCAAACCTCAGTGGTCTACCAATCAGAGTAGGGGCTTATGGAGGTTAGGTGAGTGATGGAGTTTTAGCTAAGGTCCATCTCACAAAAGACCCAATAGGTGCTTGAACCCATGAACCCATCATGTGTTTTTCCCTCCAATTCTGTAATGGATAATTGAAATAGATATACTCAACAACAGTCTCTCTGGCCTGTTCAGTTGAAGGCTAATATGATGGGAAAGGACAAGTGGAAACTACTAAAAAATAATAATAAACCAAAAGAAATACTACATTCTTGGAAGGATTGCAGAGATTAGTGCCACCAATTTAACACTTTAAAGATGTGGGGGTAGTGATTCCCACCATATCCCTATTCAACTTGCTATCTGACCTCTGCAGAAGACAGATCTTGGAAAATGACAGTGGATTACCATAAGCTTAATCAGGTGGTAACTCCAGCTGCAGCTGTTTTAGCAGATGTGGCTTCATTGCTTGAGCAAATTAACACATCCCCTGGTACCGCTATGCGATTACTCTAATTTCACCTCCTCCATCCCTGTTAATAAAGACTACCAGAAGCAGCTGTTTTCAGTTGGCGAGAACAAGCAATATACTTTCAATGTCCTATCTCAGCAGTACATGAGCTGTCCAGCCCTAGAATTTAGTTTACAGGGATGATAGTTAAGTTCACAGAGATCTTTTTTTTTAATTTTTTTTATTTATTTCTAGGGGGGAGAGAGACAGCGTGAGCAGGGGAGGGTCAGAGAGAGAGGGAGATACAGACTCTGAAATAGGCTCCAGGCTCTGAGCTGGCAGTCAGCACAGAGCCCGATGCGGGGCTCGAACCCACGAACTGCGAGATCATGACATAAGCAAAAGTCGGACGCCCAACCGACTAAGCCACCCAGGCGCCCCTACGTTCACAGAGATCTTAATTATCTTTTCCTTCCACAAGATGTCACACTGGTCAATTACATTGATGACATTATGCCAATAGGAGGTAGTGAGCAAGAATTGGCAACTACCCTCGATTTACTTGATAAGACATCTATGTGTCTGGGTTGGGAAATAAATTCAACAAGAATTTAGAGGCCTTCTACAACCTCAGTGAAATTTCTGGGGATCCAGTGGTTTGGGGCATGTCATGATATCCCTTTTAAAGTGAAGGATATGGGTGCCTGGGTGGCTCAGTCAGTTAAGCCTTCAACTCTTGATTTTGGCTCAGGTCAGGATCTCACACTTTGTGAGATCGGGCCCTGAGTCAGGCTCTGGGTTGACAGCTGTTGGGATTCTCTGTTTCCTTCTCTCTCTGCCCCTCCCCCCATGTACTCCTGTTGGGGGGTGGTGGGGGGAGGAAAACAGGGGTTGGTGCATGCACGCACACACTGTCTCTCTCTGTCTCTAAAAATAAGGTGAAGGATAAGTCATTGTATTCTGGCTCCTCCTACAAATAAGAAAGAGGCACAAAGCCTAGTGAACCTCTAGATATTGGAGGTAACATACTCCTCATTTGGGTGTGTTACTTCGGCCCATTTACCAAGTGATATGAAAAGCTACAGATTTTGAGTAGAGTCCAGAACAAGAGAAACCTCTGTGACTCTGCAACAGGTCCAAATTGCTGTGCAAGCACTTTGCTACTTGGACTATAAGGCATAGTAGATCCAATGGTGTTTGAAGTAACAGAGGCAGTTAGTGATGCTGTCCAGAGCCTTTGGCAGGACCTTAAAGGTAGGTCACAGTGCAGGCCCTTAGGACTTTGAAGCAAAGCACTGCCATTCTTTGTAGTTAACTATTCTCCTTTTGAGAAATAGATTTTGGCCTGCTACTGGGCCCTAGAGATTAAACACTAATGATTGGCCACCAAGTCACCACATGATCTGAGCTGCCCATCATGAACTGGGTGTAATCAGACCCAATAAACTGTTACGTTAGGTGTGAGTAGCAGCACTCCCATAAAATGGAAGTGGTGTATAAGTGATACGGCCAAGTATGGCCTGAAGGCACAAGTAATCCTCCTATTGGGCAGAGCTTTGAGCAATGCACCTGGTTAGGTTATGTTATGTTATGTTATGTTATATTATGTTATGTTATGTTATGTTATGTTACGTCATTTTATTTTTTTGCTTAGAAGAGTGATTCACAGGCTGTGGTCGGTGGTTTGGCTGGATGGTAGGAAAGGAACATGATTGAAAAATTCATGCCAAGGAAATCTGAGAAAGAGGGACAGACCTCTCTGAAGGGTAAAAGTGAAGCTATTTGTGTGCTATGTTAAATGCTCAGCAGAGGAATTTAATAAAGTAGA